GGCCCTGGGCTCAAACCTCAGGACTGGCATTATAAAACAAAATCTGAATGTGGATTTCAAAGTACCATTAGCACAGCCTTAAGATTTTGAATACACATGTGTGCAGATAGATCTCATGCCACCAGCCAATTAGCTAGTCTCTCTATTCCATTTGATTTGTGTCCAGCCTGTGAATCATACTTTAATCATATTTAGTCATATTTTGAGACATATTTTAATACCATAATCACAAAATTGTAATTTTAATAGTTATTCAATGATGAAATGGGCTGAGAATTTCAGGGGTGATCTCAGTATTGAATACTAGCATAGTAATTTGGGTCAAAGAAGCAAGATCCTGGTTAGCAATGCAGAATATCACAGTAACCTCCAGGGTGGATTTACCTTCCCCATAATTAAAAGTGAATAGGTAGAAAGGGGGTAATTTTACTAGTATATTTCAGATTCAGTTTATATTGAGCCACATCTAAGTGACTCCTCGGTTGCTCGGTACCTTTTAAAGTCAATTAAAACATGAAGATAATATGATCTATATTGGTATGAGAGAAGGAGCAACAATAACTTTTAGTGCTATTTTGAACTTGGTTCATGCTTGATTTACTTACTTATCAACCCTCTCATTGCTTTTCACTCTCATCAGCCATTGTACCGTGATGCCTGGGACAAAGAAAAGGCTAATGTGAATGTGCCAGCTGACACACCGCTGATGCTGCAGTCCAAGCTCAATGCCATCCAGATTAGCAATGTAAGGCTCGGACACTCATTTGCTTTGCACAGTGCTCTCTATGCAACAGAGCTGAAGCAAGCCTGGCCAAAAAAAACAACAACATTTTCCTATCAATCCTTTTATTTCTAGTGTTTAAGCTAATGATAAATAGCTATGTGTATTTACAATAGATGTATCTTCATTGAAAGGAGATAAACAATGATTCCTCAAAACAAATGAACCCAAAAAAACGCATAAAACTCAAAGTTGTATATATAGTGATACTTAGTTTTTCTTTTTAGTGAACCATTTCTTTTTTCCTTTTAAAAGTCAGTCAATATAATTTTCTGATTTTAACCTGATTTACTGTTGCCTACATTTCCATTTTAAGGGATTAGTAGGGAAATCCTTTACGAATTATCTTTACAAATCTACTGGAATTAAGTTCATTATAATAGAATGTTCTGTCATGTTGCCTCAGTAGTTCCTCCTTCAGACTGAATGTGGCATTGCAACCTCTATTTACAGAAACAATACCAACAAGCCTGGGAAGATGTCAAGATGACTGGGTATGACATTCGAGCAGATGCCATTGGAATCCAACATGCTAAGGCCTCTCGGGATATTGCCAGCGATGTAAGAGTTCTTTCTCACACACTCTCCGCAATAGGAATTTAACTTAATTCCTTAAAAATTATGTTTAAGTAGATTTCAGGTCATTGTTAATATATTGTTTATAAAGTGCCATATGCCAGAATAACTCATTCAACCATTTAAGAAGACTCTTAGATATGTGCTTGATTCTACAGTTCTTATGTACAAGCACAGATTTTAATTTTCCCCCAATTTTCTCAATGTCAGTTAGTTAAAATCACTCATAGACATTTGATGGATACAAAGAATATTGGGTTTGCTTGGTGTAGCATGCAGACTGTGTGCCATTTTGTGCAATTCATGAAAAAGTACTTTTTAGAGTAGTTACATTGCTGTTTAAATATGTTCAAGAAAACACTGATCATTCTCCATTTAGATGGAGTTAGGAATGTTCAAAGTTTCTAGTTCAAAAGCAAATTTATTTTATTAAAAACTTGAAGTGGGAATTAATGGCTCAAACTTGTAATCTTAATTACTCAAGAAGCTGAGTTCTAAGGGTCACAATTTGAAGCCACCATGGGCAAGAAAGTCCATGAGAGTCTTAATCTTCAAGTAAAAAACAAAAAGCCAGAAGTGGATGTGTGGCTTAAATTATAGAATGCCAGCTTAAAGTGAAAAAAGCCACGTGAAAGTGAAGGCCCTAAGCTGAAGTTCCAGTACCAGCACACAAAAGAAAAGGCAAAAAAACAAAAACTTGATTCAAAGTAAGATGGGATACTGGTTGTATTTGCATGTGGCAATATGTTTGCATGTGGCAAACAATGATAGAAGTTTGGGGAACTTCATTCAGGAGATGATTCAGAGACACAGCCTTGCCTTACAGGTATTCACAGTGAAATGTGTGTATTCAAACACCTACACATACACATAGAAAGAAAAAGCAATTTAATGAGGAGTTGGAAACGTATAGCTCAAAGTTAAAGAAAAGTAGTGTCCAAAATAAGGATAACTTTAAGACAGTATGCTGGTTTTGAATGGGCTCTTAAAAAAATATTATTGGAAAACAACTGCTCTTCTGTTCACACCTCCCAGTATCTATACAAGACAGCTTACGAGAAGCAGAAAGGCCATTACATTGGATGTCACAATGCCAAGGAAGACCCCAAACTAGTTTGGGCAGCAAATGTACTGAAGATGCAGAATGACAGGCTATACAAAAAAGCCTACAATGACCACAAGGCCAAGATCTCCATCCCAGTGGACATGGTGTCCATCAACGCTGCCAAGGAGGGTCAGGCCCTGGCAAGCAACGTGGACTACCGCCAGTATCTGCACCAGTGGTCTTGCTTTCCTGACCAGAATGATGTGATCCAAGCCAGGAAAGCCTATGATCTGCAGAGTGATGTAAGTGTGTGCCCCAGGACAAAGGTTGGCTTGGAATGATGGCATCTTCTAATGAGCTGGAAAATCTTAACTCCCTCCACATAGGCATATCATCAAATCTACTAAGGCCAGATTTGTTTAGAAATTTTAATATTTTCATTGCTGAAAATGATAGCATGATTTTTCTATAGGCTTATCGATGTATATAGTATTTATAGTTTATTAAACATAAACATGTCCCTGGTCCTTCAACTATGTATTGAAGTTCAAATTATTTTAAGGGTTAATGGTATGCCCTTTGCTTAGATGTTCTTCATGACATTGTGTTTCTCTACCTTACCCACAGCCCTTTTAGATTTGCTCCTATTTGTTGCCAACTCAATGTTCTAGAACTGCAGGCTTCCATAAGGTTATTTAGTTCTTGGGTAGAATGACCATCTTCTTTTAATTACCTGAACTTCAAGAGACAGTTTTAAAACAATGAATGGGTTTGTTATAGGCAAGTTTGCTCATCACTTTTTATTAATTATCAAGTGGTAGTTGGAGCCAGTTCTTGAGGAACTGCATTCGTATACTGACATGCATTAGCACATTGAGGCTTGTCTATGGATCACATAGAAAAATGAGAAGGAAACACACTTTTGAATTTTGGAGATCCATCATATTTTAAGCATTGAGATATACATCATCATTCTTCCGTAGGGTAGACACTTTCTAGTATTTTTCATTCTCCTCTTGACATTTTTAGCTTGATATTCATATCTTTTAACAAGTTATAAAAATACTGTTTCTGGGCATCACAATGACTTTGAAAATTAATAACATGTTTAATATAGAACAGTTTAATGTGCCTAACTTCCATATATATCTGGAGCAGCAGGTATAGATAACTAAGAATGTGGAAATACCAATGGAAAGGGAGAGACTGTCTTAATATTTAATATTTTAAAATTGTTAAACTCATGATTGAATTCTTAATTGTCATTTGAAAGAATACCGGTGTGGCAGGCCCTCTGCTGTCACAAAAGATACAATGGTGAATAAAGGAGAAGAAAAAGCAGGATACTGATCATAAAGAAATCGATATTAAGAGAGAATATCGGTAAACCATGGGATGCTAAGAAAGAGGGGCCTGCGCACTGTGAAGAGAGAGGTCAGGAAAAGTACTGGAAAAAGTACTGATTTAGTTGGGTAAGAGGTGAAGGAGGACACAGCTGTTCTTGCAGGATAAGCATTTGGCAAAGGGCTGATACAGACCTCAAGCGGAGGGAAGACAATGTGTTCAGGTCACAGAGGACGAAAGGAGGCACACAGGAGATGAGTCTGAAGAGTAAGAGTAGGCTGACTATACCAGGCAGCCATTTCTTTTCTGTAGCCCAAGTGAAGGAATTTGATCTTTACTTTAAAGTGATAGATAGGATAGGGCAAATGTGACTCAGATTTGAATTTGGAATTTTGAAAAGATTGTCCTGGCTACTATTGAGATAAAATCCCCACTGGGCCAGATGCCAGTGCCTCATGCCTGTAATCCTAGCTTCTTAAGGGAGGCTGAGATCTGAGGATTACAATTCTAAGCCAGGCAAGAAAGTCTGTGAGACTCTTGTCTTCATTTAACCACCCAAAAGCTGGAAGTGGACCTGTGGCTCAAGTGGTAGAGCACTAGTCTTAAGCAAAAAAGCTCAGGAACAGCACCCAGGCCCTGAGTTCAAGCCCCAGGACCAGGACCAAAAAAAAAAGTACATCTTGACTATAATAATTGCCTAGATACTAGTCAAATTCCATCCTTACATACACCCACATAGAGAGCTTCCACATCATTCTGTCTTGTAAACTGCCTTCTAAACATTAGAACATTAGAACAGAACAAAACACTGCTGTGTATATGGGGCCATATGTTTGTCAGGCCAGTATTCTTTGTTTTTTTTAATTACTACCTTTAGTCGTTATACATAGGAGTTGTCATTTAACACTATATCTTGAACACAATATATCTTGATCAATGCCACCCCTTTCAACATTCTCACCCATTCTGGCCCTATCCACCCCCTCCCTCACTCCTCTTAACTTTGTAGGATAAACATTAGGTTCTTCTCATTTGTCCACTCCTTTCCCCTGGACCCCATCCCACCCCTTTTCAGTTCCTACTTCTTCATGTTTTATTTTGCTGAACTTTGATTTTGGCTTTCTAAGGCAAAGCTCTATTTTCACTTACTTGTGAAAGAAAAAAATAACGTTAAAGATGGCTTCCTTTTCTCTACCACTCATCATCAAACCAAAACAAAAGCAAAAACTCTATCTACCTTCCCCTGCCCCCCAGGCCATCTACAAGGCTGACTTGGAGTGGTTGCGTGGTATTGGCTGGATGCCAGAAGGGTCACCAGAAGTCCTGAGAGTCAAAAATGCCCAGGAAATCCTATGTGACAGCGTCTATCGGACACCTGTGGAGAAACTCAAGTATACAAGCATTGTTGACACACCTGAAGTTGTCCTTGCAAAATCAAATGCTGAAAATATTAGTATTGTAAGTCACTTTTGTTTCTTTTAAAATCAAATTTGAGCTACAGAGAAATCATAAATGATTCACTTGGTGATTTAACTTTGGGATGAAAATAATATTGATGATAACAAAAATTTTATTCAGTAACATAGCATTTAAAAACTCTTAAGAACTAGTAAAAAGACATTAGGATATATTTCAAATCAAATTTGAATAATTTATTTGAAAAGATTCACATAAAATAAGTCTTTGCCTTACTATGAAAAGATTTTAATCTTAAAAGTATCATGATTACAAATTGTGAAGTGATTTTTTTTATTGTCTCTTTCCATAGCCAAAGTACAGAGAAGTTTGGGACAAAGATAAAACTTCAATTCACATAATGCCAGACACTCCAGAAATTAATCTTGCTAGAGCAAACGCCCTTAATGTGAGCAATGTAAGTACCACAACAGTCTCTGGTTTGCTTGGAAAGTCACCAGCTAGGCCAGACAAGACCAATAAGTTTTATAGCTGAACAAGAAATCTGCAGATTGCCTGTGTGAGGGTGGGGGTGGGGCTTGGCCTGGACTCAGGGATAGAAAGCCAGGGCCCTCCTCATAGTCCAGGGCAAGGCCGGTAACTGTGAGCCAACTTTAACAAGAAAACAGTGGAAGAGGACAAATAAAAGAATAAGGAGGTAAGTAAGCAAGAAAAGAGAGTTCATGTCAGATTCAGATGAACTAAAAATTGTAATTCTTTGCAAAAACAAATTAATCAAAAAACCTAGATCTATGGGAGACTTTCTAGATCTATGGGAGAATTTCTAAATTATCAAAATTGATCCCAGAAAAACAGAAGCCATATAGCAAGAAACAAAGAGTTTTAAACATTTTCATTTCTCTCCTCAAATGCCCAGATTGCCCTGATAATTTCACAGAATTCTTTTAGGATTTTCGGAAGGACACTACCATGGAGCCTAATAGAAGAAGGAAAGCTATCATGGCTTCCAAAATGCATTAAAAGTTCCATATATGAAAACTGTAGATTAATAACAGAAAAATCCTAAAATATTGATAAATTAAGCAACACATTCAAATGGAGCTTAACCAGGAACACCAAGAAGGTTCTATATTCAGAAACCTATTAATAGCACTCAAAGGGAAAAAACAATATGCTAATTTTCTTAGATTTTAAAAGTTGTGACAAAATCCAATTCCCTGTCTTTTTTCCTTTTAAATAAGAGCTTAGTAAAAATAAAATGAAACTAGTATCTTCTTGACGTGACTTAAAAAAAATACATCTCAAATCATAGGCCTGCTCATCCTCAGTGACTTTCTTATTCAACTCAGGATTAAGACAAGGATGCTTATTAATATCCTATTTAACATCTAGAATTAATTGCTTAAGTCAGGAAGCTTCCAATGAATACTAATATAAGTGTAAGAAAAATATAAGTATTAAAGGGGAAAAAACAGGCAAAATTACCATTCCCAGAAGAAATCAGACTAAGCCTGGAAAAGGGAAGATAATGGAGAGGAACAAAATATATTAATTAATGAGCAGAATACAGTTGCATGAAATAATCATGCAGCTAGGTGAATGTAAAGTGTAGAGAAGTGTCACCCCATTGGTCTGTTATACCAAAGAATCAAGGCCATCCCAAACTGATGTGCACTATTCCCATACACTTTAATCGTGACGAGTCCATACAGAGATCTAATGGCTGTCACCCCCCCTTACAGAGAATGTGAAATCTCTCTAGTTCATATCCTAGTCTTGCCAGAGATAAAGCTTGTAAATCTCTAAAAAAAAAAAAAAAAAAGAATACAGTTGCATGACTGGCTATACAATTCAAGAAAGGTCCGGAGAGGGGCTATCTTGTTGGATCACAAAGATTACCTATGTGCAGAATAAATGTGACTATATAAAATGGATAGTACCTTAGAGCAGTTCTTTATGATTTGAAACACTGTATTTTTGAACAATAATTAACCTTTGTGGGAGAAAGAGCCCACAGCTCAAAGATTCCAGATGCACCAAACTTCTCCATTAGTTGAATGAACTACTTGGAGACTAATTTTTACAACACAATTTTGGAACACCAATGTATACTTTGGGAGAGGAGTAGTGGGACTGGAATCAACATGGTGCAATGCTCTCTTGTCAAATGGCTTGGGTCAGTGGACAATCAGTTGATCACAGGTCGGTCTCCTCTACATGATGCAGGAATTTCTAAACCTTGGAGAGTATATTGAGACTACGATTCAAATGCAAAAAAACAAAGCCTTTTTAGTCCCAGACCCTTGGACCATATTATGGCCAATGGTGCACAGAATTAATTTTTCACGTACTCTTTCAATTAAGATCTTAAATCCTGGACCTTCAAAACTGTTGCCTTATTATGCTAGTTGAGTCGTCAGAGTTACTTGATGAATTCAAACCTTACATTTTCTCATCTTTAGAAACTTTACCGTGAGGGTTGGGATGAAGTGAAGATGAGCTGCGATGTCCGGCTGGATGCTATCCCTATCCAGGCTGCCAAGGCCTCCAGGGAGATTGCCAGTGAAGTGAGTGTGGCCTCTTCTACCTCCACCATGTTCTAAGCAAAGGCTCCAGGTGCATCGTGCTGTGGTTCATTACTTCGTTTTTCCATTTCCAGTATAAGTACAAGCTTGACCATGAGAAGCAGAAGGGGCACTACGTGGGCACCCTCACAGCCAGGGATGACAACAAAATCCGGTGGGCCCTCATAGCTGGCAAGCTGCAGAATGAAAGAGAGTACCGGCTGCAGTGGGCCAAATGGAAGACCAAGTTCCAAAGCCCTGTGGACATGCTTTCCATCCTGCACTCTAAAAAATGCCAGACTCTAGTCAGCGACGTTGATTATCGCAATTACCTGCATGAATGGACATGCATGCCTGACCAGAATGACGTGATTCAGGCCAAGAAAGCCTACGAACTGCAGAGCGATGTGAGTGGCCTGTACTGAAAGATGAATTTGCTGAATAGCAAGTCTTTGTAGTAAGGAATCAAAATTACCAAAGTCAGGAAGGACCTAAACTTTGTATCAAGAAATAAATGGTAGGGTCTGGGAAGATGGCTCAGTGGTAGAGTGCTTGCTTTGTATGCATGAGGCCCTGGGTTCGATTCCTCAGCACCACATAAGCAAAAAGAAAAAAGCAGAAGTGGCGCTGTGGCTCAAGTGGTAGAGTGATAGCCTTGAGCTGAAGAGCTGAGGGACAGCGCCCAGGCCCAGAGTTCAGGCCCACGACTGGACCCAAAAAAAAAAAAAGAAAGAAAGAAATGGTAGAAGCCAGGCACTGATGGGTCATACCTGAACTCCTAGCTACTCAAGTTGCTAAGATCTGAGGATTCCAGTTCAAAGCCAGCCCGGGCCAGTACCCTCAAGAGACTCACATCTTTAATTAACCAGCTGAAAGCTGGATGGAATTGAGGTGCTCTTGAGTATCAACCTTGTAAGCCAAAAAGAGCATGAGGCTCAGAGTTCAAGCTCTGGTACTAGAACAAAAAATGAAGAAAAAAGTGGTATTAACTTATTAAAGAAAACTGTGAAAAATATTATTTCTATAGAAGTTAGATTGCAGTTATGGTTTTACCAAGTAAAAGATTAGTAAAACCTGAGAGGAGGAGGGCTTGGGTTGGATGAGCAAGAATGATGAAGGGTTACATCAACCAAGATATAGTATATTTATAAAATGATGTGTTGAATGGTTAACTCATTTGGACAAGTACTTAAAGATAATAAAAATATAATTTTTTAAAAGATAGAGCTGAATAGGAAGTAGACATGGTTCTTTGACTGATAGGCTCAGTAAGAACATTTGAATTAAATGGCCAAGACTTTTAGATCAGGAAAGTTTTTTAACTTTTTATGATTATTATAAAGGTGACATACAGAGGGGTTACAGTTATATAAGTCAGGTAAAGAATATAGATTAGGAAAGCTATTTATACAAAGTTAAGATTTAAACTGGATGCTGGTATTCATGCCTATAATCCTCATTACTCAGGAGGCTGAGATCTGAGGATCAAGGTTTGAAAGCCAGCACAGTCTTGAGATTCTTCTCTCTAATTAACCCCCCAAAATACCGGAAGTAGAGCTATGCCTCAAGTGGTAGAGCACTAGCCTTGAGCAAATAAAGCTCAGGGACAGCACCCACGCCCTGAGGACTGGTATGTACTCTGCTCACATGCATGCACACACACACACACATAAAAGTTAAGATATCCCACTTCTCATGAAAATTCAAAAGACATAGCTGTAGATATGTGTTCTCCTTGGCAACAAAAACTGGAAACAAATTGAGGTTAACTTGTTTCAAAGAAAAAAATAACCTCCAGGTTATCACACTACCTGACCCAATGAATCCTGCCAAACTGAGTATGTCATCCTTGGCTTATCCAGTACTTAGATTTGTTTTTCTTCATCAGACTGAACGATAGACTAAATAGGTCCAGGAGACTTGGGCTGCTGAATTAATTCTGGCTTTGTTTTCACAGGCTGTTTACAAGGCTGACTTGGAATGGTTACGGGGAATTGGGTGGATGCCGAATGATTCTGTTTCTGTCAATCATGCCAAACATGCTGCGGACATCTTCAGTGAGGTAGTCCAAGATTCTGCCCTGCTATCTAGTACATTTCCAAAGAGCATGAACTAGATGACATGAAACAGACCAGCAATTTTAACCATTTTTAGTTGTTTTGATTGAAGATAGATATACATTTTCCCCAAATAATCCTAAACTATTTTATAATATTATGGTGCTATATCCCTAATATCATATCCAGCACCCTCATTAATGCTTCAAATTGTAGAAATGGAAATTTTTCTTAACAGAAATATTCTGGGAGAGGTTTATTCAGTTGAAAACAGGGATTATTATTATTATACACAATGATATGGCATTGGGGGGAAACAAAATTGCAAATTTGTTGTTTTAAATCTGTGGAAGTGTTGGGAGGGTCGCTCAGTGGTAGAGCACTTGCTTAGCATTCAGAAGGCCAAGGGTTCAATCCCTAGAACCCTAGAACCACTATATATATGTTATATTTTATATATATGTACACAAGTATATATGTATATGCATATATATGATGCTGATCAATCAGTTTAAAATATAAACTATAAGATGAAAACTAAATTGCCAAGATGTCATTCAGATAACATTTGTGTTTTTAGCTCACCAAGATGAGGAACTCTGACTAACAAATTTCTTTTTCTCATAGAAAAAATATCGCACAAAAATAGAAACTCTCAACTTTACTCCTGTGGATGACAGAGTTGATTATGTGACAGCAAAACAAAGTGGAGAGATCCTTGATGATGTAAGTATATGGCTATTCTAAAATCCCATAGCTGTGCAGATACATTTGTAAAGCTTTTCTATAGTCTTGCAACTATTGTCTGAGATACAGATTTTAATTGTTGAAGTTATTGATGTCCAATTGCTTGGACAGCATGGTGTATACTTCACATCTAGTAACTAGTGTGGTTGCCTCTCACTTGTAGATTAAATACAAGAAAGATTGGAATGCCACTAAATCCAAGTACACCCTCACAGAAACCCCCTTGTTGCACACGGCCCAGGAGGCTGCCCGCATCCTGGACCAGGTATGAGTTTTACCTGGATGTCTGGGACTGTGGGTGGAGATGGAAAACCTTAATGGAACCCAAGAGAGTTATGCATGTAACTTATTCCTCCCTCCCTGCTGACTCCTCTTTTAACCTCTGTTGTGGCTCTTTGTCTTTTAGTACCTCTATAAGGAAGGCTGGGAGAAACAAAAGGCCACAGGCTACATTTTGCCTCCAGATGCTGTACCATTTGTTCATGCCCATCGTTCCAGTGATGTTCAGAGTGAGGTAATTTATTCCCATCTGAGTGAACTTGGCAGAAACAAGGCCTTGCCCTGAAAAGATGCCAGCTATGCCCGGCACAGATGTCACCTTAGGAATGTATATTTCAGCTTGGCAGATGTGGCTGAGGGCTGAAGTGCCTCTTCCCCATCTTATCTCATGGGTTTTGCATTTGCTAATGTTTCTTTTTTCTTCCTCAAAAGCTGTGGTTTGAAGACTAGAAAGGTAGCTCAGTTTTAACGTGCTTGCCTTACATGTACAAAGTCCTGGGTTCGATCTTCAGCACTGCAGAAACAAACAAACAAAAAAACCCTGTTGTGGGGCTGGGAAGGTGGCCCAGTGGTAGAGCACTTGCCTTGCATGCATGAGGCTCTGGGTTCGATTCCCCAGCACCACATAAGCAAAACGAAAAAAAGCCGGAAGTGGTGCTGTGGCTCAAGTGGTAGAGCGCTAGCCTTGAGCTGAAGAGCTGAGGGACAGCGCCCAGGCCCAGAGTTCAGGCCCTATGACCGGACCCAAAAAACAAAAACAAAAAAAAACCCTGTTGCTTAAAACTTATTTTTCAATGTTTTATTTTTTCTTATGTTTTCTGCCTCCAATAAAAATCTCTAGTCTCCCAAATAAATATATTGCCAAAATTGGAAAACAAGTAGATGATTTTTTTAAACTTGGAAATAGCTATTTCTTCATATGTTTCATTGCTATCTGTTATCTGTTCTGAGTGTTAGTGGATCCAAAAACTTGATGGCTGAGTTTGCTGATCATTCTTGGCAGATAACTACCCCACCCCCACCCCTGCCACTTTGCCTTTTGTGCTTGGCAAAGCTGATGATGTCTATATTCTTCTTCCCATCAGCTGAAATACAAAGCAGAACATGTAAAGCAGAAAGGCCACTATGTTGGGGTTCCGACAATGAGAGATGATCCTAAACTAGTGTGGTTTGAGCACGCTGGCCAAATTCAGAATGACAGACTCTACAAACAGGACTATCACAAAACAAAGGCCAAAATCAATATACCTGCTGACATGGTGTCTGTTGTGGCTGCCAAGGAAGGGCAGACTCTGGTCAGTGATATTGATTACCGTCATTACCTACGCCAATGGACATGTCACCCTGACCAAAATGATGTTATTCAAGCAAGGAAGGCCTATGACCTACAGAGCGATGTAAGTGGTTTTCATTACATCATTATCTAGAAATCTATAATATACTCTGACAAGGGCAAGCAGCATTCTACAGTCACCAGTGTTTAAAACTTTGGGCTATAAATATTTGTTCCTAGAAGGGAACTGAGGAGCTATAAAGGAAAGGAAACATGGGAGAAGTCATTGATTGATAGATTTGCTTATGGACTGCAATTCTGCATAACATTCAATGTCAAATAATTGCAAAGTCCACTGCTTTTGTACCATTTCTCCCATTAGGAATTCCTCACTCACATTTACATGGAGACTTACCAGCTGACTTAAGAAGGGAGGTTATGTTGGGGTTGTGACAATGTCAGATGATGCTTTAGACAAGGACCTAAGAATGCCTTATTGCTGTTTAGCTGAGGATCCTACTTCTCAAAGTATTTTAATGAGTCACTTACAAACTTATAAGAACAAAAGTAGAAGAAACATAAGGTATAGATTAAACCAAATGAAGCACTACCATCCTTCACTCAGAGCTTTGGTAAGACTAGGATAAAGAAGGTGCCAGGTACCAGGGGCTCACACCTCTAATTGTAGCTACTAAGGAGGCTGAGATCTGAGGATCATGATTCAAAGCCAGCCCAGGCAGGAAAGTCTGTGAGACTCTTATCTCTAATAAACCACCAGAACACTGGAAGTGGCACTGTGGCTCAAGTGGAAGAGTGCTATCCTTGAGCTGAAGAGCTGAGGGATAGCACTCAGGTCCAGAGTTCAAGCCCCATGACCCACAAAAAAAAAAAAAAAAGAATGTGACACAGAGCACCTCACACAAAAACCTCAGTTAAGATCTCTACCTATCTCCAGCCTTCTGTAGGCAAGGAAAGAAACAAGATGCTTTGATTACTTCCTCAGGTACACAGAGGAACCCTACCTGGGTCTTCTCAACAGTACAGGAGGTCAAACATAGATACTGAAATGAAACAGCCTATCATATTGGTTATGGGAGCAGAATGATTTATTGAATTTAATGAGATTAGCAGCTCCTCTTCATTTGGGAGGGAAGAATTCTGGAGCCAGGGACAAGAGGAATGGTGTGAGTGGAGATAAACAGCGTAGCCACACAGGAGGAAACACCCCTGCCTTCCCTACCACCACACCAGCATTTATGCAATTCCCTTCATTTAATCTAAATGTCCCATATGCTTCTACATACTTATAAATCTATTGCATCTATCTACAATCACCATCTCCTTGGTAAACCTTTTATGGCCATAGCTGGAAGTAACTATCCTTTTCATCCCCTAATCCTCTTGTACTCATGCACCTAACCTTATCCTTGTCCCTGAAAGTACAGGCTTTATTTTGAACAGTCTTGAGAAACTTTGCTCAGATAGAGTCATGACGAAATGTGGGAGACAACAGCTACTAAAGAGAAATCTTTAAAACAAAACATAAAAAGCATTTGTTTGCAATCTTCTGTCTGTCATCTTGTCTGACCATCTCTCTTCCTATTCCCAGCATGTCTACAAAGCTGACATGGAATGGCTCCGAGGTATTGGCTGGATCCCCCTGGATTCTGTGGACCATGTGAGAGTTACTAAGAACCAGGAGATGGTGAATCAGGTATGGGAAGTTTGTTCTTTTTTTAAGACTATACCTACCCTTCTTATCTGCCCTGTAGGGGCAGATTCCCTGTTGGAGTAGACCTGACTTAATTGTATCCACTTCTTTTCAGATAAAATATAAGAAAGATGCACTTAACAATTACCCCAACTTTACCAGTGTGGTTGATCCTCCAGAGATTGTTTTGGCCAAGATTAATGCAATCAATCAAAGTGATGTAAGTTTGCTTTGTCTATACTGAATGCTTTGTCTATGCTGAATTGCAGGCAGCTCATTGCTTAGAATTGAGTGGATTGTTTTAACTCTGTAAAAAATTGGGAAAGAGGTAAATTATAATCATGAGGGTAATATTTAAAAGTCACTAGAAGGTAGTATACTATAACCACTTTCAGCTATCCATATTCTTATCCAAAATATTCTATTCTACTAGCCTAAAATTGCCTGAAATTCAGTCAGTTGGCTAGTTTTAATACCTAAATGAAGTCTAATTATTTTGCTGCTAGGTAGATCCTATGAAAGCTTAAATATACATTTATAGTAATCGAAAGGTTTTGTTTTGTTTTGTAGGTAAAATATAAAGAAACATTTAATAAAGCCAAGGGCAAGTATTTATTTTCTCCAGATACACCTTATATCTCCCACTCCAAAGACATGGGGAAACTCTACAGCACTGTGAGTACCTAAACAACAACTCAGTTCCTAGTTTTAAGCTCTTGTCAGGCAGGATTCATGAACTGTTATTATAAAGACAATGAACAGAGGGGTCACATTACATAAGTCAAGTAAAGAATACATTCCTTTTTGAATAATGTCACCACTCTCTCATTTTCTCCTAATATTTCCTTTCCATCCTCCACCCACAAGTTCTGTAGTACACTTTCAACATAGTGTCCAGTGAGCAGGACTCATAGTCTTGACTGATTTAGCAAACATTGAAATTTATCAGGTAACCTATTGATTTCATTGTATTTCATTGTTTATTAGAAGTAACATGTATTCAGCTTTGCGCTAATCTGCTCAGAGTAAGTTGCGTGTATTCAGCTGGTTATTTTTTTAGTTCCTGTGATGTGCCCTACCCTTCCGAGGCACTGAGGGGCTAGTGTTCAATGAGGTAAGCTCATCCAAGTGAAAGAAGCAGATCTAAATAGATTAATATGAGAGGTGCTATAAGGGCTCTAGAAGCACATGGGATGGAACAACTATGAGGAGAAAGAGGAGGAGAGCCTTGTCTATCTTCAGCAGCTATGCACAAGTGTGGCCAGTGAACAAAATTTGCCCTTCAAAATTTAATTCAGCTAATTTAAAAGGAGAGGAGTGTAGATAGAATATGCCCAATAAGAAGCAATCAGATGATTCCTTCTATGTTTGCAAATTTTTCATCTCTTATAAAAACTGAAAATATAGTTAACTCTGATATATATATATATATATATATATATATATATATATATATATATATATATATATATTTGCCTCAACATTGCTTTTGGTAGTATCTGAAAGTAATTGAATGCAAACATTTAGTGATATCTATTTCTTTGTTCTAGATCTTATACAAAGGTGCATGGGAGGGAACCAAGGCTTATGGCTACACCCTGGATGAACGCTATATTCCCATTGTTGGAGCAAAACATGCTGACCTAGTGAACAGTGAGGTCAGTCTGATCATTTCCTGTCTGAGGTCTTTTAGTGGGCAGCAAGGGACTAGTTAACAAACCCCAGTGATTCTCAATGTTGAACCCATTTCACAGCTGAAATACAAAGAGACGTATGAGAAGCAGAAGGGTCACTACCTCGCTGGGAAAGTCATTGGCGAGTTCCCTGGTGTGGTTCACTGTCTGGATTTCCAGCAGATGAGGAGTGCGGTAAGCAGTGTTTACTCCTGCAGCAGACTTGTCTAGCGTCAGTGGGCTCTTCTGTCTCCCCACTTATAGATGGCCCTGGGGCTCCTGGTGAGGTGGGGGATGGACTAATGCGGATATTCTTTCCTAACTCTTAACTATAAACCCTGGATGGCTGGGGGCTTCTTCCCTTCCCTTCCTTTCTCCTTACCTAACACAGTGAGGGCTCTTGACAGATTGTATGAACAATTGAACCTTGAAGGTAACCTGTTGTTTTCATTAAATATGGAAATGTATTGGGAAAGGGGGAGAGCCTTAAGATCCTTGTGACCCTGCATTGAAGAGAAATGCAAGGGAAACTTTAGAACTAAAAACTTAGAAACATCAGTCTGTTCCAGAGGTTCTGACTTAAATTGAAAATGAGAATAAGTAAATGGATTTGCATTACTTAAGCTTTAATTCTCCTCTAATTTTCTGTCTATTAAAAATGTTATTCTTTAGTTGAACTACAGAAAAGATTATGAAGACACAAAAGCCAACGTGCATATCCCCAATGATATGATGAACCACGTGCTGGCTAAAAGATGCCAGTACATCCTCAGTGACCTGGAGTACCGACATTACTTTCATCAGTGGACATCCCTCCCAGAAGAACCCAATGTTATTCATGCTCGAAATGCCCAGGAGATCTTAAGTGATGTATGACCGTCTTTCTCAACTTAGTTATGGGCTTCACCCAGTCCTGTCATAGTCCTCCATGATCCAATTGTCCCTGTGTTCATAGACCTAGTGACATGAGTAAATACTTTTTGGTGTAATAGTTCCATTTGCACCATAGGACACCAAATTGAACATTTAATCAGTTCCTCACTAGACTAAGACTTTGGTACAACTATCTCCCTAGGCTTCTTTAAGACAGAGAATTAAGACATCCCAGTGGTGAGATGCCTATCCTAAGTCTTTGAAGCACTACGTACATACATAGTCAGGACTGTTAAGAACTATCAAATTGCTCAATGGTAAATTCAGAATATCTGTCACCTTGTACTGTTCTTGCTTTCTTTCAGAATGTGTACAAAGATGACCTGAATTGGCTGAAAGGCATTGGTTGCTATGTTTGGGATACACCCCAGATCCTCCATGCCAAGAAATCATATGACCTCCAGAGTCAGGTGAGCTAACCTCCCTAGGAGGACTGGGGTTCCCCTAAATCAGAAACTATGCAGTGGTATCAGGCTGCAGGTCAGGCTTTCTCTCTGCTTCCTGGGAAGCTGCTACAATAGTGCATGATCTGAGGGAACCAAATCCCCTACCCACTCCACATGTCCCTGGCTCCCATTAAACTTCTTATGGAAGCATGTGCTAGTGGGAGTCTCTCCATGGCTAACGATCATGCATCGTGAGCTTCTTGCAAGTCACTCTACTTTGACCAGGATAACTTGCAGAGTAGGAAGCAAAGCATATAACCACAGGTAGATATATTTTTGTTTGTTTGGGTTTGAGGATTTGTTTGGTTTTGGGTTTTTTGTTGTTTTTGTTTTGTGCTGGTCCTGCACTTGACTCAGTCCCTGAGCTTCTTTTACATAAGGCTAGCTCTCTATGACTTGAGCCACACAGAGACAGAGAGAAATGAGTTTTGCACTACGATTCTCAATCCTAGCCTACTGAGTAGCTTGGATTACAGGTGTGAGCTACCAGTGCCTTGCTGGTAGATGCTTAAAAAACAAGTCTTTTTTTTTTATTGTGAACATACTGTACAGAGGGGTTACACTTGCATGGGCAAGATAATGAGTACATTTCTTATCAAGCATTGCAGCCTATCTGGGCCCACTTAACAGAACATGGTAGGAAGCTCTTGCAGGGAGAGTCCACAGGTCTCATGGGGTGGCGGCTGTCAGTTGTGGAAGAGGGAAAGGAGAAGGCAACAGAACCAGGAAGGACACCTGGACAATTCCCACCCTAGAGATGCTATTTGGCAAGCACACACAATCTGCAGGATGACAGGCTGTTTGTTAGGATGGAGCAGAAGTCCAGAAACAAGTAAAGCTACCTCTAAGTTGACATAAATAGCTATAACTGACCTATAACTGATGATAGTCTTATACTTTCCAGTTCTTGGTGACTTTTTCCTTTTCTCCACAGATAAAATACACAGCAGCAAGTAAAGAAAACTTCCCAAACTATAACCTGGTGACAGATACGCCAGTTTATGTGACTGCTCTTCAAAGCGGCATCAACGCCAGTGAGGTATGTGTTCCTTGTCCTAGGGACAATTTGTGTGTTTTCCAACAACAGAAGTAAATCATCCTTTTCATTTTTGTTTTTGTTTTTGTCTGTAGGTGAAATATAAAGAAAATTATCATCAGATTAAAGACAAATACACCACAGTTCTAGAAACAGTGGATTATGACAGAACCAAGAATTTGAAGAGTCTTTATAGCAGTGTGAGTTGAGTTTTCTCTTACACATGAGCTCCCTTTCCCCCTTCAGATTCACGTATAGAATAAATGAGGGTAAGCATCCTGTCCCCAAATGTTTTTCTAGAACCTTCAAATTCCTACTTTCTCTCATAAAATTATTATGTGTAGAATGAAACAAGAATCAAATGAATCAAGTCCTAGTGTTTGGCAAGGACTGTCTGAGGACAGAAAAAGTGCTACTTGAGAGCTAACTAGAGTGCATTTCCTCTTATTCATGAGCCTTTTTAACCCCTCCAGAACCTGTACAAAGAGGCCTGGGATAAGGTGAAAGCCACCAGCTACATCCTGCCAACCAGTACCTTGTCCTTGACACATGCCAAGAACCAGAAGCATCTGGCCAGCCGTGTAAGTGCAAACAAGAGCCTCCCGCTTCCTCTGCCCTCTCCTGGTCCCCATGCCAAGAGTTTTTCAGGCTAATTCAACTGTGCCTCCTTAGTATCTCCAGCACCTCTCTGGGGCTTCCAGATTCCTGTCATCCATCTATGTGCTCACTGAATGCCTCCTTCTAGAGTTCTGTCTGAGGAAATTCACAACACCAGCACAAAGGGCACAGATGTGATCTTTGTGTCAATGACTTAGTCAAGAAAAAAAGAAGACATACCATACAAAATAGTGTGCTTTCAATAGAATTAAATGTAGGTTTGGGGATAAAATTAAATGATGGGTATGACAACTAATTATCACACCATTCCAAAATTAATAGACAAGGCCAAAGGCACATGCTTCAGATTTGGGAAGAGTTTTATACATGAGATTTACAAAGCCCAGTGGAGGCTGTTTTCCTTCAGTCATGAAAACTGCTATATAGAAGCAGGATTCTTGACAACTTGTTTGGACAAGGTGGATCAGAGAAAAAATATAACCTTTTTTAAAAATAAAATTGAGGTTTTATTCAAATAATTGGTACAATTCAGCATGTCAGTTTATGAGTACAATGCATCCTGACTGATGTTGCCCCTTTCATCATTCTCCTCCCATCTGCTTCAACCTTACTCATTCCCTTATATTATTAGTCCTTTAAAAGCATTCCAACATTCTATTTTTGTTAAAACACACACACACACACACACACACACACACACAAGCTGAGTGCAAGTGGCTCACACTTATAATCCTAGCTCAAGAGGCTGAGATCAAAGGATCACAGTTTGAAGCTAACCCAGACAGAAAAGTTTATAAGACTTTTATCTCCAATTAACCACAAAAAGCTGAAAGTGGAGCTGTGGCTCAGTAGTAGAACACTATCTTTGAGTGTAACAGCTCAGGGACGGTACCCCATGACCTACGTGTACACACACACACAGACACAGACACACACACACAATTTTCTTGTTTGGAAAATTCTGGTGGAAATTTTGGTCTCCAGTCAATGCAAGTTTTGGTGAGAACTCTGATACAAATTCCTCTCATTTCACTGAGATGTGTGTTTTTGGTTTTGAAGAAGAGACTGTATTTATTGCCATGTACTAGGACATTATTACCCAGGTCATGCAATAACAGAGCATTCATTAACAGGCAACACAGATTAAGAATTAGAAATTGGTTGCATTGTATTTTTTGAAAACTTGTAAAAATTAAAATTCAAGAATTAGCCAGGCACTAGTGTCTCAAACCCATAAACCTAGCTTTTCAGAAGCCTGATATCTGAGGATGGAGTTGGAAGCCAGCCTGGGAAGGAAAGTCTGAAAGACTCTAATCTCCAGTTAACCACAAAAAGCTGGAAGGGGAGCTATGGTTCAAAGGTAGAGCACCCGCTTTGAGTGTAAAAGCTAAAGGACAGTATCCAGGCTGCTCAAGTTGTACTCATGTACATGTATGCACATGTGCGCACGCACACACACATGTGCACACACACACACACACCCCTCTTAAACACCAATCTCTCAATTGTTAAGAAAAATGATATTCCTGAACAGTTCTGACTTTTCACTTATAGTAGAAAGAAACAAAGACATTATCATGAGACAGTATTTTAGAATCATATAGTCCTGGGCTGGTAATATTGCTCACTATTAGAGCACTTGCCTACCATGTACAAGGCCTTGAGTTTGATCCCCAGAATCACACCTTTAAAAACGAAATCATGTAAGTCTAAATATGAGTTAGTTGAATAGCAACAGTAATGTTATTATAGACATTTCAACATAGTAAGATTGTACAGTGTGCCACAGTTTAAAAGTACTTTCAGATATGGTCTGATTTTAGTGTCACACTGGCCCCGTGGTAGCTCTGCTTCTGTCTCTGTATAGATGGAACATGAGCTCAGGAAAATGGTGGCCTCCAGTCATCTGTGTTGGACAGGGAAAGGTCCCCTCCCCATTGTCCCATGCTAGCAAAACTAACCCATTACTCTACAAAATTAGATTTCACCTTCTCTACTTTGTCTTCTAGATCAAGTACCGAGAAGAATATGAGAAGTTCAAAGCCCTTTATACTATACCAAAAAGTGTTGACGATGATCCAAACACAGCACGGTGTCTCCGAGTTGGCAAGCTTAACATTGATGTAAGTAATGCCCAAAGGCCTTTTCTTCCCAGCAAAGCCAAGTGGACACATTATGGATTGTCTGCTCAGCCTAGGATCTGATTCCCTGCCTGTGACGGCGGCATGTAAAGAAGCTGTGTCATCCCAGCCCAGGTTGCTTTGCCTTTTCATTTGTCCTGGTACTAATGGGTAGAAAGTGCCAGACCCTCCCAGCCCATGGACCCTAGCTGTTTGCTGTAAGCCGCTCACTGTGACTTCTCCGGGATAGGAGGAAGGCATGTGTTCCTCTGGCCAAGATGACTGACATGTGAACTTAATTTCTCAGCGCCTATACAGATCTGTATATGAACAGAACAAGATGAAAATCCACCTGGTGCCTGACATGGTAGAGATGGTGACCGCCAAGGATTCTCAGAAGAAAGTCAGTGAGATCGACTACCGCCTGCACCTCCATGAGTGGATTTGCCACCCTGACTTGCAAGTCAACAGTCACGTCAGGAAAGTGACAGATCAAATCAGCGATGTAAGCTCATTGCTTAGGAGGTTCCTGCCCCTGCCCACCCCACTGTCCTCCCTGTTCACTTCAACCTTTTCTCTAGCTTACTTTCTTGTTATTTGTCTGATGGGATTGCAGGACGTGGGGCTCTGTAAGCAGATGTTTCAATGGCATTTTCAGCCTCATTGTATGGTGCCTTTTGCTGGTTTTTGTTATTTTTACAGTACTGGAGTTTGAATTTGGGGCACTGAACTTGCTGAGTACATACTTTACCCCTTGAGCCATACCCTTTCAGATCTTATACTTTTGCCCAGGGCTGGTTTCTGACTTTGATCCTCCTACTTATGCCTCCTGGCATTACAGGCATGAACCACCATGAGAGACTTAATTGGTTGAGATATGATGTCCCTAATTTTTTGCCTGTCATCCCCAAACTCCAATTCTTCAGTCTCTGCTTTCCTTGCATGCAGCATTACAGGCATGGGGCAATGTGCCTTATCTGTCATTTTTTTTTGCTCCCCAGTATCATTGGGGACCAGGAAATGCCTGTTGTTTAAGTGTTAAAATTGTAGATGGAATTTATTCTTATCTCATGCATCTGTTGAAACTCTCTAGATTGTATACAAAGATGATCTCACCTGGCTGAAGGGCATTGGTTGCTATGTCTGGGACACTCCTGAGATTCTCCATGCAAAACATGCTTATGATCTTCGCAATGATGTGAGTTTCCATTTTGATGTCTGGGAATGCTTCCATGTCTAGAATCACTGGAGTCTTGTGAGTTAAAAGCCTTGTGTGAAAACCAGCCATCTCTAATATAATAAATGCTCTAACCAGGCTGGCTTTCTTCCTCCTGGCAGATCAAGTACAAAGCTCACGTGCAGAAGACAAGGAATAACTACAAGTTGGTGACTGACACACCGGTCTATGTCCAAGCTGTCAAGAGTGGGAAGCAGCTCAGTGATGTAAGTGATCCCTGAGGAGTGACCCTGATAGATAGTAAGGAAGACAGAGGGTCACCAGCCAGCCAAAGCTAAGGCAGTGCCAGCCTTTCCTGGCTAGAGAGCAGAGCTGATTTCTGAGAAACTGCTAAAGATTCTGCCTTTGTCTCCCAGTGCCTGAACTGTCAATATTTGGTGGGGGTAGAGTTGTAGGTGAGCTGTGTACAGTACTATGTTTGAGAGATTCTAGAATTTCTTTTGGTACCACACCTTGTGTCATGAGCAACAGTTATGTCTCACTATCTAGGCCTTCAATAATAGGACAGGTGATGGTAAATCAAGAAGTGAGCAGACTGAAGTTAGGGATACAGAATGTGGAGTTCTGCATCTAGTACATGTAACCAGGGGTTTGTGAAAAGCAAGTGATCTCTCTGAGCCTCAACACAATATGTGCAAATGGGAAAGTATATGTAAAAGCCTACGCTGGTGCTCTTTCTAACTTAAATACATAGGTTATTAATTAAACATTAGATCCCACCAGTGAATTAGATTGACATGGTAGCCTATCAGAGTTCTCCAGGCAAAGGAAGGCAGGCTAACTGTATATTAATTAATCGAATCACCTGGTGATTGAACTCAAAGATTTATGCTTCCTAGGCATTCTAGGCAGTGCTCTACCACTGAGTTACATTCCCTAGTTTTTCTTTTTTGTTGTTTTTGGGATTTTTGTAGAGACAGACCTGGGAGTTGAACTCAGGACTTCATTTACTAGGAGGATGCTCTACTGCTAAGCTATGCCTCCAGTTCTGTTTTTCCTGGTTATTTTTGAGATCGGGTCTCCCTTTCTACCCAGGTACATACCTGGGGACAATCTGCTTATGTTAGGCTTCCAGGCATATCTAACTTAACAGGTGTGTGCCACCGTGTTCAGCTCTCAGTTGAGAAGAGTATATTAGTTGGTTGAGAGCTTTTGTCTGACTAGAACTGATCTCAAACTTTGATCCTCCCAATCTCAGCTTCCCAAGTAGCTAGGATTATAGGCTTGAGCCATCATTACCCAGTTTTTTTTTTTTAATCCCTAAAAGAGACTTGGGTCCCATGTATTCTGATTCTTCCTGGGCACAATCTAGATCACTCACTCTGCCTTTCTGTATTCCCAGGCTGTCTATCACTATGACTACGTGCACAGTGTCAGGGGCAAAGTGGCTCCAACTACAAAAACCGTGGATCTGGACCGGGCCCTTCATGCATACAAGCTGCAGAGCGAGGTGAGCAAAGAGAATGGGCATTGCCCAGCAGAGAACTGTGCCACCGAACCCAGAAGCAATCTGGGCTTGGGCATCCCCCTAGACTGACCTTGAAAAGTGTAAAAGCTGTTCCATTTGATGAGTACTTCTTGAATACTAGAAGTAACTTGATTTTTAATTCTTCACTATTCTGTATGTGTGTGTGTGTGTGTGTAGGTGTGTGCATGCACTCACATGCCAGTACTGAAGCTTGACCTCAAGGCCTTCAGTTCTCACTTAAGTTTTTGTTGTTGGTGTTGTTGTTCACAGCTGGCACCTCCAATTCTGGCATTTTGCTGGTTAATTAGAAATTAGAGTCATCAGATTTGTCTACCAAAGTTGGTTTTGATCCATGATCCTCAGCTCTCAGCCTCCTAAGTAATAAGGATTATAAGCATGAACCAGGATTGCCCAGCCCAATTTTTCCACTATTGTTAATCCTGTAGTTCCTAGAGGTATTTAAGATTACTGGTATTTAAGGTCCCTTACTGCCATTATTATGCCCATTCTGACCTCTTCAAAGCCCCATGCCAAGGACACATGGGAGGTCAGACAGGACAACCTAAAGCTATGCCTGAGTTGTATGACTGTCTCGGAGATTAGTGTTAGCTTGAATATCATCTGAAATGGACTTAATGACAGGGTAGGCCTTTGGCTGCCTGCTTTCTCTGCATTTCCCAAATTCTTGCTAGATGAAATGTAGTCAACTGGTTACATGTTGGGAAGCATGTTTTTCCAAAACAGTAAGTTGAGAGTGATCCGACTAATTTCATGACTCTTAGTATTTACTTAAGTTCTTGTTGAAATTAACTCAAAGGCTAAGGAAATTAATCTTCCATTTAAAAAATCTAATATTATGCATGTATGAGGCCCTGGGTTCGATTCCTCAAAACAACATAAGCAAAAAGAAAAAAGCTGGAAGTGGCGCTGTGGCTCAAGTGGTAGAGCGCTAGCCTTGAGCTGAAGAGCTGAGGGACAGCGCCCAGGCCCAGAGTTCAGGCCCCACGACTGTACCTCCCCCACCAAAATGTAATATTTATTGTATGCAGCTTATTTAACTTGGGTCAGATATTTGATACCACTTGTAATTTCACCTGTTCTCCTCCATCCCGACAGAACCTGTACAAGACTGGTCTGCGCTTCCTGCCCACAGGGTACAGACTTCCAGCAGACACGCCACATTTCCAGCACAGCAAGGATACCCGATACATGAGCAGCTATGTGAGTGGTCTCCTCATCCCACCGAAGTTGGGACAGGGAAACTAGTGTAAATAGTCTTTCTTACCTCAAGTCAGACCCTCCAGGTGCAGGATGATACAATGATAGAAGCAGGGACAGTGGACAGCATGATTTCTGGGGATGTGGTGGAATGGCCACTGCTGCATCTTCTGGCCTGTATAGCCCAGTGAGTTAGAATAGGATGGTGGGAACCTTGGCTCAGGGTCTATGATGGCAGAATGCCTGAACTATTCCAAGCTATTTGCTGGAAATTCAGCTTCACACCCTCTATTTTGTGCATGCAGAAGACACAAGCTTGTGTGTTACTGTGAAGGGGAAGGACTTCTTACCTAGCTGCTGCCCCTGATCCTTACCCTACTGTTTACCTTCTGTGTCCAGTTAATGGGAAGCAAGCTTGTGGGGGGAAGCAGAGTAGACTCTCACTGTGTATAGCTTATTTAATGTGGTCTTTACCACTTTCTCCATTTTATAAAAGTACTAGATTGGGACTTAATGAATTTACCCCAGGGCGAAGCCCAGAGCAATTTTGGTCATCCCAATGAATCTGGCCTGCAATCTGTATTAATAAACTAGCCATCATCCTCCTTTCCATGCTATGTTTCGGGTCTACTAGCCAGACAAGGCCTAATTGGAGCCCAATAATATGTTTTTCAAAGCGGCCACTTAAGCACTTAAGAGCCCAATGTACTAGTTTTTAAAATTAGTCTGTAAAGTCATCCATTGATCTTAAAAGTGTTCTCTTTCTCTTTCTTTATATTTTCTAATTTCCTGATCCCATTGAGGCTTATGTTTTGCATGCCTGTATATAAACAGATTTCATCTAACAAGGTTAAATTTGTTTTCCTTTCTACACCTAGTTTTATCATACAATAAATTATTTTCTTTTTTTTGGGGGGGGTCTGGTGGTGGGGCCTGAACTCTGGGCCTGGGCGCTGTCCCTCAGCTCTTCAGCTCAAGGCTAGCGCTCTACCATTTGAGCCACAGTGCCACTTCCGGCTTTTTTTCTGCTTATGTGGTGCTGAGGAATTGAACCCAGGGCCTCATGCATGCAAGGCAAGCGCTCTACCACTGAGCCACCTTCCCAGCCCCATAATAAATAATTTTCAAGACGGCACAATATTATCATTTTGTCAGGGATTAATTGATGATTGAGTTTTAGACAAGGCCTTGCTATATAGCCCTTGAACTCATTATGTAGCCCAAGCTGGCTTTGAACTCATAACCCTCCTGCATCAGGATTACAGGTGTACATACCACCATACTTGGCTGACTTATTTCTTATATTTAATGTTTAAAGAACAATTTTCAAATAAAGATGAAATCTGTTTTCCAATTCAGAAATATAATGTTGGTCTTTGTATAATCATCACTGATCTTACTCTGATATTGTTTTGACAGTTTAAGTACAAAGAAGCCTATGAGCACATCAAGGCAAATGGGTACACGCTTGGCCCCAAGGATGTACCATTTGTTCATGTCCGGAGGGTCAACAATGTTACCAGTGAGGTATGGTGAATACTGGTTTTCTGAGGGAATTATTGAGTTTCAAAAATCATAGCTTTATTTGAAGTGCATTAAGAAGAAGTTCTTATATTTCAGCTGTAAACTTACACATCCACAAAGAGCAAGAGGGTTATTTTGTCATTATTTTGATACCTGTATCCCATAGCAGTCTTTTTCTGTATTTGGAAATGACATCTTAGAGACCCAGTTCTATAGAGTATGATGCAAGACTTTTTCTAAAGGGATAACTTCTTCTTTAGACATTTGTATTTAAAAATCTTTAATAAAAGGTTATATTTTGGTCTGACTTACACCCTGTTTTCCCTATCAACTATTGGTTTGTACAAATAGTTCATCTGATCCTGCTATACAACCACCTATTAAAACATAGGTGACATTATACTCAGAAATCTTCCCCTAAATGAAATAAGTATCATTTTCTCCTAGCCTAATCTTCATATTTCATATTTCTAGTATTACCTCTCCTGGATCTCTATGTAAAGTATTGGGTTGTTTACTTATTAGTGTAGATAGTCCTTATCATCTCACACTAAATAGTTACAATGGCTTCCCTGTACTGTAGAGACTATATCGAGAATTGTACCATAAACTGAAAGACAAGATTCACACAACACCTGACACACCTGAAATCCGCCAAGTCAAGAAGACTCAGGAAGCTGTCAGTGAGGTGAGTATGTGCTTAGAAGAGAGGGAAGGCCACAAGGCCCAGGAGAATGTGAACCATTTGGTCTGTAATATGTGTGTTTTTGGTATTGTTGTAGTTGATCTACAAGTCGGACTTCTTCAAGATGCAGGGTCACCTGATCTCCCTGCCATACACGCCCGAGGTGCTGCACTGCCGCTATGTGGGGGACATCACCAGTGACGTAAGCATCTCCAGGTCTTTCTGGAAGAGTCTTAGTAGGAGGCAGGCCTGCTTTCAGCATTTCGGACCATTCGTGGGCTTTGAGGAGACTTTCCATTGAAAACTTGTAAACTAATTTACATCTTGGTTGTGAAGCAGTGTGGAACAGGACTCCTCCATTCTCCAGCATGGGAACAGTAATGACAGGATTGCTGGAGAAGCAAGGTCTACCACCATGTGGTGACCACCATTCCACATGCAGCCCAGAACCCTTCCCAGCTCCCCAGGCTCCAGTGCTGGGTCCCAGACCATGCTCAGTAACAGCCTGCTGCCATTAAAAAAAAAAAATCTCCTTGGATATTTCCTTCTCTGAAAAGACCAATCTGTTCAATTTGTGCTTTTCTGCTATCAATATGGTAATAATAATCAGCAGAGCTTTCTTTCCTCAGCTCAGGGTTTGAGATTTAACTTGTAATTTGAATCTGAGATCATGGAGTGGACATGGATGACCTGAAATCTGGATATTACCAAACCCCATATATTCTGTTTTTCCCTATATATGCATGGCTAGAGTACAGTTTATAAATTAGGTACAATGAGGTTCACAATAAATAAAAAATAGAACAATTACCCTAAGATAAAAGTTATTTAAAACTGATCAATTATTTCTGAAACTTTCTACTTAGTATTTTCAAGTTATACTTGACAGATAACTGAAATCACCATAAGCGAGCTATGGGTGAGGGAATTGCTACACATCCATAAAGAAATGTTACTCCCCTGTACTTTTTGTTCTTGATTTATATTTGCTTCTGACCAGCTGTTTTACTGTCTTCCCCACAGATTAAATACAAAGAGGATTTGCAGATCTTGAAGGGACTTGGCTGCTTCCTGTATGACACACCTGACATGGTCCGCTCCCGGCACCTACGGAAGCTCTGGGTGAGGATGCACCTTCCCAGTACATTACCCCATCACCCGCCTCCAGAACTAGGACAAAAAAGGTCTTACAGCCTGCAGCTACTTTTAGGAGAAATTTACCATAACCCACTTGGGCAAGTCATGGCCTACTTAATATGATCTGTGCCTCCTATAAAGAGCTGATGGGTTTAGTTATAAAGTAATTGTTGTTCCTGCCTCACGAGACACCATGGGGGGCCTACTACTCAGTTTGCATTTACCAGACACTTGAAAGGCATGATGTGCAAATCTTTAAGTGGTTAATTATTATACCTTATGTGTCTACCTTTTTAAAGTCTAATTACCTATACACGGATAATGCAAGGAAGATGCGAGACAAATACAAGGTGGTGCTTGACACTCCAGAATACAGAAAAGTACAAGAACTGAAGACCCATCTGAGTGAGGTAAGGATGCTTTATCCATAGCTGTAAGAAAATCACCCTGGTCAGCATGAACCATATTCCTCAAGAAGGTACATTATACTCTCAAGTGATCAGCTTTCAGGCAACTACAGAAGGTGCTAGTTACTCAGGTCTTAGTTACTCAGAAGGCTGAGATCCAGAGGATTTCAGTATGGAGCCAGCCCCATCAGAACTATCCATGAGAATCTGTGTTCAAAATAACCAGCAAAAAAAAGCAGGGCGAGAGGTGGGGCTCAAGTGATTGTGCTGGCTGAGGGAGCACCAGGATCCTAGTTCAAAACCCCATCACTGCTGGGCATTGGTGGCACACGCGTTTAATTCTAGCTACTCAGGAGGCTGAAAGCTGAGGATCGTGGTTTAAAGCCAGTCTGGGCAGGAAACTCTGTGAGACTCTTATCTTCAATAAACCACTCAGAAAACCATAAGTGGTGCTTTGGCTCAAGTGGTAGAGCACTCACCTTGAGCTGAAGAGCTGAGGGAGAGTGTCCAGGACTGGAGTTCAAGCCCCATGTCTGACCAAAAAAAACAGAAAACAAAACATTACTGCGCGCTCTCTTGCTCTCTCTCTCTCTCTCTCTCACACACACACACACACACACCATACATGCATGCACGCGCGCGCACACACACACACACACACACACACATTATCTGCCCTTAACCATGCAGTGGCCATGTTTTCAAACAAGTCAGTTAACCTTACTTTGGTTCCATTTATTTCTTTTGTTCTTTTCAATAAGAGGATATTGATATTTGCTTTCCTGTGAGAAGTGGTTTTAAAGTCCTCTGTCTTACAGAATTGTAGGCTCCAACCACTTCAAATATTTTATTATAATCTCTGCTATTAGGAGCCCTAACTAATGGCAGTGACATTTTTAAAGTCTTGAATGACATCTGACTCTGTTGCCTGCTCAACACATTTCAAATTCCCTAGTTGCATGTTCCTCTGCACAGCTGGCATTGAGCCTTCTGACTCATGGAAATTACTTGTTTCCACATGGGATCCTCTTACCCAGACAATCAGTTCCTTCAGGAGTGGGCCCATCTAATTTCCAAGTGCATCGTCATACTGCCTTGGCCATAGCGGATGGCCATGTTTGCCAATACCCAAATGTGCTTTGCACAGGTAAGAGTTCTCTGCAGCTGTAAATGGTTGCTATCCTTACAGGTCAGCGGCCAAGCTTCTTCTACCATCAGTCTGTAGCTTAGCTTCTCCAAGCTAAGCCAAGCCTTCAATATGAGACCATTTCCCTATTCTCAATAGGTTTACTGGCTGCTGGCTGGGCATCTTAGGCTCTCAGATTTAGAGATGCCCTGACACAACCAACACTACCCTCCAGTGCATAGAATGTGCAACTCTTAGACTCTCAGCCCCAGCGCATGATTGATCCTCTGGCTCACACACACAATACTTGAACCCAAAGCCAGTGCTCAGACAGGAATGCTTATGTTCTTTTTTTTTGGGGGGGGTCCGGTCGTGGGACCTGAACTCTGGGCCTGGGCACTGTCCCTCAGCTCTTCAGCTCAAGGCTAGCGCTCTACCACTTGAGCCACAGCACCACTTCCGGCTTTTTTCATTTTGCTTATGTGGTGCTGAGGAATCGAACCCAGGGCCTCTGGCATGCAAGGCAAGCGCTCTACCACTGAGCCACCTTCCTAGCCCTGCTTATGTTCTTTTTAGCCCCATAAAGTTGTGTTTCTCCATTCTGGATGAGAAGGAGGATCTGTAGTGGCATGTTTTACAGTGCCCTTGAGTAGACTCTAGCCTCTAGTTCTATACAGACTGGTTCTCTGTGTCCGGGCACCTGTATGCTTTCAGGAGATCCTTATCTCCAGCCAATGTTGAACTCCTTCAGTTATCAAATAATCATAAGCACATCAAGTACTCATGAGTAGAGCGTCTCTGAAATACCTTTACTTCTCTTGGCTGCCTAAGATAAAAATTACCTAAAACTCTACTTTTTCCACTTCGCAATTCCTGTTGGTATTTAGTGTATATTTTAAGAAATATTTGAAGAAGAATAACAGATTATTTTTAGTAATGCAGTTTCTACCACACTTTCTCTCAAAAAAAAATCCTTCTGAACTCAAAAGACGTGGAATGGAGCCTGCAAATCTGTTTTTAATTTAAAAACTCTTTGGGAATTTATACTATTAAGAAAGTTTGGGAGATACTGACTTGGTAAAAAGAAGTTCAAGTTGACTTTTGAGTTCTTGACATCCATAAAAATTTTTGGAACCAGGAAATGCAAATATTGTTTTAAGAAACACAAACAATGCATACCTAAGGACAAGGAACATTCTTACTAAAAATTGTAAAAATGACATGGAATGGACAGGTTTTAGTCCTGGATTTACTTCCAGTTACTTGAATGACCTTAAGTAAATTGTAACATCAGCACTCCAGTTTCTTAAGCCAGATAATTTGACTAGATGATAATTTGGGGATTCTACGAGTCTGTTAAATTGCTTTACTCTAAATTTATCACTGAGGTCTGGGAATGTGGCTTAGTGGTAGAGTGCTTCCCTACCATGCATGAAGCCCTGGGTTTGATTGCTCAGTATCACATAGCCAGAAAAAGCCAGAAGTGACGCTGTGGCTCAAGTGGTAGCGTAGTAACCTTAGCAAAAGAAGCTCAGGGACAGATCTCAGGCCCTGACTTCAATCCCTAGGACTGGCAATAAATAAATATTTTATAAATAAATTAACAAATAAATAAATTTAGCCCTGGAACTAGAGGTATAACCCAGTGCTTAGCATACATGAGACCCAGGGCTTAAAGAGAAAAAGAGAAAGAGAAAGTGAAGAGAAAAGAAAAAAGAAAAAAAAGCTAGCATGAAAGAAAAATTAAATTTGAATTTAGTTTATCTTCAATAGTAACACCAGAATCAGCTACAAACACCTGAGCTACATTTTGTTTAAACTGGGAGCTGCACAGAATTTCGATTTTTAAAAATCGCAATATGCCTACATGTGTATATAATGTTTATATACATAATATAATATATAATGATTATCCACATGTACTTATATCTGCAATCAGAGTTTATTTGGTATCCATTTGTTCCCTTTGGTATCCATTTATTACATTAAATGAGCTTAACATTGATTAAATACCCTTGTGTAGGTACCATGTGATGAAAAGCAGTGATCTGAGCTGCTTAATTCCAAGCCCCCCAGTGTGAGAGCAGAAATAGATTTCAATGTGATAAATGGTATTTAAGGAAGTTAAAGAAGACAGCTTGGGCTCTCGGAGATTACCAGAAAGATAAGAGGGAGAAGAACATTCTAGGCAGGAAGAAGAGTAAAAGTGTAAAATGTCAAAATGGCCATGAATTTTAATAACAGAATAGTTTCAAACAGCACATGAGTTAAAAAGCATGTGGGAAAATGGGGCTAGAAACACAGGGTGGGTCAGGTTATAATGACTCATAAACATTGGTTATTAATACAACTTGAGCTTTATGGAAGAAAAAAATAGCATTGAAGACTCTAAGGAGCCTAGATCTAGTTGTTAAGAAAACCTGTCTGACCTTTGTGAAAGACGGGTAGCCCATAAGGAGCATCCCTACAGAGGAAGATGAAGGTGGCTTAGGAGGTTCTAAAGGATAAGTAGAAAACAAACAGAACTGAGAAAAAATAGAGTAGAGAGATCAGATTTTAGGACACACCATTCTGATGTAGGAATGAAGGAGGAATCTAGGATGACCCCCCAAGATTCAGGCCAGGTGACGGAGAGATCTAGGAGTCAGCAAAGTAAAGAAGACTAAAGAGCAGATTGGGTTGGAGAAGGAGGGCAGAGTTATAGAATTCTACATTGAGTGTGATAAGACCTTTACATTTACAAAGTTGTTAAAACAAAACCCTTGGGGCCAGTTGCTGGTGGCTGATGCCTATAATCCTAGCTACTCAGGAGGCTGAGATCTGAGATCCTGGTTCAAAGCCAGTCCAGGCAGAAAAGTTCCTATGAGACTCTTATCTCCAATAAACCACTCAAAAACTGGAAATGGTGCTATGGCTGAAGTGGAAGAATGCTAGCCTTGAGCAAAAGTGCTCAGGGACAGTACCTAGACCCTGAGTTCAAACCCCACAACTGAGAAAGAAAAATAAAACAAACTTTGGTCTGATGTTCAGAAGCGACACTGGATAGGCTATGCTTTGAATATATGTTGCTCAGCTTTTTATACTCAAGTCTGGTACTCTACCATTTGAAGCATACCTCTAGTTCTTTGTGGTTAATTGGAGATAGTCTCTCGGATTTTTCTGCCCAGTGTCTTGAAACCTTGATCCGCAGATCTCAGCCTCTTGAGTAGCTAGGGTTAATCATGAGCCACAGGTGCCTTAGAATAGTTTTTAATAATTACAAAATGTACTGGGCACCTGTGGCTCACATCTGTAATCCTAGCTACTCAAGAGGCTGAGATCTGAGGATCTCAGTTCAAAGCCAGCCTGGGCAGGAACATCCATAAGACTCTTATCCCAAATTACCCACCAGAAAATGGGATGTGGCACTGTGGCTCAAGTGGTAGAGCACTAGCCTTGAGCTGAAGAGCTCAGGGACAGTGCCCAGGTCAAAACAAAGTTTTACTGACTTCATTGGTGTGGTTGGTTAGAGGACAAATTAAGAACTTGAGAAATTAAAGAAAGAAGAAACAGGTAGTTTGGCAGAGAAAGTGGAGGCAGAGAATGGCTTGATGAATGGAGGGATCCGATTGTGTTTGCAGATAAAGAAAGAGTGCTGGAAATAACAGGAAAGGTTGAAAATATGGAGGAGAGGAAATCATTATCAATAGAGGGTTCTAGAAAAAACAAGCGAATATGATCCAAAAATATAACAGGCCGCTTGAATTTTGAACAGGCCAGGTAATATCTCTTGTACAAGGGGCAGAAGGACAGAAGACTCCAGAGATAAATAATAATAATCATTGGTTTACCAGAAAGCAACTAAGACTGTGATGGTGGGAGGGTCCCTGACTTCTCTGAGTAGGTAAGGCATCTACAGAGAACATGCTATGTTGATGAAGTGAAAATGACAGTGGTAACTTGTTTTATGTGTAGCTGGTGTACAGAGCAGCAGGCAAGAAGCAGAAGTCCATCTTCACTTCCGTTCCTGATACTCCTGATCTTTTAAGAGCCAAGCGGGGACAGAAGCTTCAGAGTCAGGTAACATGGGTTGTTCACAAAGATTTATAAGCCTCTCACACTGGCCTCAGCTAGGACAGTTGTGTCTTCTGGACTTCTCCTGGTCAGTAGCAGACTCTCACACTGGACTCTCCTTGCTGCAGCTTTATGCACATTAACTTCTATGAGCAGATGTTTCTCAGACCATGCTAACCACGGTTATGTTTTCATGAGCAACAGATGTCACTTTTTCTATTTTAAGTGCTATATCACTCCATCATTGGATGCATGGTCCATGGTCCACACAATCGCTTGGTCGCCTCATAAGTGCTATTATTCACAGACAAATAAAACCACATTTCATATGCTCAGGCAAAACTGTGGGGAAGATACACTAAAGGTTCTATCAGCTCCTCTCATTCTTCTTCTGGAATTCTTTATTACATCGTTTGAGATTGGCTCATTATCAGCAACAGGATTAGTGGATAACTGAGCACGTAGATACTTTTCCAGATATCAGACTCAGAATGAACAAATGAGCAGAAACACATACTCAACCAGCAACCATCTGAAGAGACATGTAAGGGTTAAAAGTGAAGAGGACTAAACACCAGATACTAAATGCTTCATCTTAATCATATCTCATCCCATTTTCTTATTATTCAGTATCTGTACGTTGAACTTGCCACTAAAGAGAGACCACATCATCATGCGGGAAACCAGACCACAGCCATGCAGCATGCTAAAGACGTAAAGGACATGGTCAGTGAGGTAAGACAGGGGTTCTGCACTGGCCCTGGGTAAAAGAAATTGTGTGTGTGAATGACTGTGTGTGTACATCTGTGTGTGCACACACACTTGTGTATGCACATGGTTAAAACTTGCAATCTCTGGCCTGAAAATTGATTACTACAAATTGTGCTAAGCTTCATCAGAAACACTGAAGGTATTGCTGTTCTCTAAAATTGTGACATGCTGTGTTCCAAGAAACCTATGACTTGGTTGGGAATTAGGAAGGGTGAAACTACTTGAATGTAACTTTGTCTTCTTCTATCTTCATTCCCTAGAAAAAGTACAAGATTCATTATGAAAAGATGAAAGACAAGTACACCCCTGTTCCAGATACACCAATCCTCATCAGAGCCAAGAGGGCCTACTGGAATGCCAGTGATGTACGTATCTATTCCTTGTTGTGGCAAGGAGAGCTGAGGATGAAGGACCTACAAAACCAAACTTGCAGTCACAGCCATGGTACAAGATCATGGCCTTGGCATGATTTAAGCGATACCAGTCAAAGTAACTGAGAGGTGTGCTGAGAGATGCTAGAAGCCTAGTCGTAGTATTCTCCTATGCAAATATATGACCCTTTCTTGTCATTCTCTGGTATCATTTCCTAGGCACACTTGACAACTAATTTATTCAGAAAAAACATGGTCTTAGAGAGTCAGACCAACAGGGACTCTAATCATGATGCAGTCATTTATTTATTCTATGATTCCATATAATTTACCTGATTTTTCTTACATGTCAAGTGAGGATGGGAATCATGATAAATAAGACAACAAAAGAAAATGTAGGAAGTAGAGGTTTGGCTCAAATGGTAGCACCAGCTTAGGGTGAAAAGGCCAGGTAAGAGCATAAGACCTTGGGTTCAACCCCCAATACAAGCACATCTTTCATTATGTTTTCTGAGTTACTTTAAAAGATAAAAACTACTTGAGGTTGAAAACAGACTGCTCAAGGAAGGACTTTTCTTGCATAGATGAAATGAATCTACTATGATAGTCTTAGGCTAAGACCTGTTTTTCTCTTGGAGTATCACAAAAATAAAGATTGTTTTTGAATTTTGAATTTTGATAGCTTAGTCTTTCTCCCCTTTTTATGTATTAAAGTTTGACCTGTGCTCAACAAGGCTGTGTGATTTTTCTTCTCCCAAATGAGTTTTTAAGTGGTTCTTAAGTAGTCTTACAGTTACAGAAAAATGCCAGAGATAGTAGACAATTTCCACATATTCATAGTTTCCCCTATTGTTAACAATGTACATTACCATCATATGAGCTTCTCACAGAGATAAAACAAGATTAGAGCATTATTCTTTTATCAGTCCATATTTTAGATTTTGTTAGCTTTCCTTAGTACCTTTTTTTAATCCTCAAGGATGTGAAGCAATCTCTAACTTTTTCCCTAAGTTTATTCATAGAAAACCTAAGAGAAAACACTCAAGAGAGTTCAAGCTTTAAAGAGTTCAATTATTTACCTTGGTAATTGATGTCATTGATACTTTTGTTTTCTTTTTCAGTTACGCTACAAAGAAACATTTGAAAAGACAAAAGGAAAATACCACACTGTGAAGGATGCTCTGGACATTGTTTATCACCGCAAAGTCACTGATGACATCAGTAAAGTATGTCCCTAGACAGTCTACCTAGAGAGCTCCTGTTGAACTCTCTATCTCATCCTCATTTGTTTAGCTATTTCTCTTTCCTAAGACTCCAGGGAGGCAGCACATCTTTACATTAACTTTGGGAAAGACTTTCTAGCTATGTTTGTGTTTTTGTGACAGGTGAAATACAAGGAGAACTACATGAGCCAGCTGGGAATCTGGAGGTCCATTCCTGATCGCCCGGAACATTTCCACCACCGCGCAGTCACGGATGCAGTCAGTGATGTGAGTGCTGACATCTATTTTCACACATAGATTCATGTTACTAGATGACTTGTGAAAGTAGCTACTGCATTCAAAACTAAGAAAACACTTGTCCAGATTTAGATATGGGGAATGGATGTTTAAGTCGTTTAATTGCTAAGTGAGTAAATACCAGGTTAGGAGAGGGGAAAGTATGTTTAAATTTATAAACCTAGGTTTTCTTCTCCATGTTGGACATTATAAAATATGATAAAGTGCTATACCTTATTTGGGAAAATAGCCTGTTTTGATCCATAGAAGAGACAATTTTATGGAGCAATTAAGAAACATAACAATGCTCATTTAGATTAAATTATATCTGTCTAGATGAAAATATGCCTGGCAAGTGAATGATGCATTCTGTAGGAAAGCATTCTTGTTAAATTTGAATTATTTTGCCTGGGTATGGTGGTGAATACCTGTAATCCTGGATACTTGGGTGACCAAGATCAAGAAGATCATAGTTGGAGGCCAGTCCAGACAAAACCTTAGTAAGACCTCATCTCAATTAAGAATCTGAATGTAGTGGTTCATATCTATAATTTTAGCTATTCAGGAGACTCTTAGTAAAAGGATCATGGTCCAAGGCTGGCCTCAAGCAAAAACAAGAGATACTCTCTGAAATATAACTAAAACCAAAAAGAGTTTGGGTATACCTCAAGTGGTAGTGCCTTGCCTAGCAAGCATGAGGCCTTGAATTCAAATTCTGGTACCACCGAAATATTTTAACTTATTTCAATTAGTAATAAAATGAAAAATATTAAATAACACAATGTTACAGAAATCAATATTATTGGAAACTTAAATAAGAGTTTAGTACTTTGACATACTTCAAAAGTCATTTACTGTTTACTTAGCTTGTACAGATCCTAATCTGTAGCTATTGATGATAGGTTCTTAAAGCTCACTGATGTGCTTCTTCTCCCAGGTAAAATATAAAGAAGACTTAACCTGGCTTAAAGGCATTGGTTGCTATGCCAATGATACCCCAGACTTCACGCTGGCTGAACAAAACAAGACTCTCTACAGCAAGGTATTGGTTCAAAAAGAATGGCTACACCCAATCAACATACAACACACGCCTGAATTCCCAGAGGGAGTAGCAGCACTGGGGAAATAAGGAGACTTTCTCTGTGTGTGTGTGTGTGTGTGTGTGTGTGTTTACATATTGAGAGAGACAATAGAGAAAAAGAGCAAGATGATAGCTAGATAAGATAGCTAGTATTTTTTTAGCTTTTAACCTAACACAGAAAACAGATCTCTTTGATGTCCACTAAAGTGTTTTCTGCTATGTGTTATGGGGCTAGTTTTCAAGAATCTCAGCCACTTATATCTTTCATTACCTTAGGAGGCAAGTAGATACTTGTTACTAACTTATTGGGCCTATGAATTATTACAATTATATAAGATAGACAACATGTCTTATGGTATGCTATCCAATAACTATGTTCTTTTTCTTTAGTATAAGTACAAAGAAGTATTTGAAAGGACAAAATCAAATTTCAAGTATGAGGCTGACTGTCCAATCAATAGACATTTCAAGTATGCAACTCAGTTGATGAATGAGGTATGTTTAATCCAATTAAGCCTATTCAATTCCATCAATATATCTATTGTTGTTTGATTAGACTTGGAAAGACTATATAACATCATCATCCAATGGGCTCTGCCAAAGTCATAAATAAGAAGAAAAGGGAACATTGGAGTGAGGCCTTACAGGCATCTGCACCTCAGGGCAACACAGCTCTGTTGGGGGTAAAAAGGAAGGAATTGAAGGATTTTGTGAGCTATCAGCTGAATGTTGTGTAGACTTAGGAGACCCAGAAGTTTGAAGGCAATTTAGTATCCCCTCAAAGCACCACATGGAAGTGATTAGAAGCCCTATGCGAGACAATTATGATTCATGTATTCAGATGTATTACTATTGTTGCTCCCACATATATTAGTGCCTACGAATATTCATTTCCCTCTATGTTCTATCCAGTCTTCCTGTAACCATCTTTGTACCAACTTAAGTTAAATATAACCCAGGGCAGCTGGAATAAGTATAATTAAAATATACTTAATTCTCTATTTTCAAAGTTTCATGGATTTATTTTTAAAGTATTGGCAGATTAGTAAAATGTATCTAATAATGAAAATGTAACTATTAAATGTATGACTTCTTGTTGTTTGTTTTCATTTATATTTAATTTGTTTTCTATAGGCTGGACCACTGAAAATTACTGTCAGTAACTTTCTAACAGGACAGTGTTGTGTATTTTATTTCCATTTTTCTATTTCACAAAGGATTTCTAAGTGTGCTTTTAATAACTAAATTAGTGTTAGAAGACAATGGTAAATTTTCATGAATGTTTTAGCATTAGTTATACTTTTGACTTCTCATAGTGTTATATGTAAACCTTTAGCTTCTCTCAGTACTTACTTTAAATATAAGATGCCATAAAAGCTGACATCACATGAAAAGATGGAAAATGTTCACAAAGTACTCTGTTGCATGAGTCAGATCTCTCCCAAGCTCCAGAATTCTCTAGGCAATATTTCTCCACTTGATTCTCTTTGCTTCTCTGGTTGTTGTTGTTTAATTGTTCCGGGTGTTTTAGGAAGCCATTTCTAGAAATAACATGTTTCTGGCTCTCTGGAATGTTTACTTTGGGACATTTCTGTGTAGATTTGAAGTTGTACTCTTGCCATAATTTAATATGATGTTTGATCAGAAAAAATACAGAGCTGATTATGAGCAGCGGAAAGATAAATACCACCTGATAGTCGATGAGCCTAGACATCTGCTGGCTAAGACCGCAGGCAACCAGATCAGTCAGGTACTGTGATGGGGCTGGCTGGCCCAGGCAGGACTGTGCTCCAGTTTTTCCTGAGGTGTTGTTCCGTCTGCTGCAAGAATGTCATAGGCTCCACCTATGATATTGGGCTGTCCTGTCCGAAGTATCTGTCTAGCCACCCAAAGAGCCCGGGAGCTATTTGAGTGTGCCAGTCCATGCATGCTCTGTGTCCTCACTTAGGCTGGGGAAAAGGTCGAAGACTGAGTCCTCCCTTACTTTGTTCTTCTGCAGAACCTGTTTGCAAAGAAATTATAAAAACAAAAAAATTAGGGAAGGAAAAATATGGAGCTCTTGGCTGTATTTTTCTCTTCCTATGATATCACCTTCTCCACAAGTGAGACTAGCTATCATTTCCCATTCACAAGGACCATCGATGGATGGTGATTATAAAAATTGTAAATTTCACAGCCACTCTGCTTGGCTTCCTTTCACCTCCCCAGCTGTGTGAGCACACAGAGTGTGAATGCCTACATCTCTTCACTCAGAGGTGACTGGGATATAGAGCCATGTTCTTTTCTGTCTTTATAAGTCTCTTTTGTGCTTCACTGCTCTTTGCATGGACAGAGAAAATATAAATCTAGTGCCAAGATGCTTCTGAAACAAGGATGTAATGAAATTCTGCGTCCAGATATGTTGACTGCCCTCTACAATACACACATGTGGAGCCAGGTAATGTCTGACGGGGGTGAAGAGGCAGGATTTTAGATCTTAGGTGCATTCCCTTTAATGCTTCCACTAGTTTCCTCTCTGGCCCCCTGCCCATGCTTCTTTCACATGATAAAACTGCATACATATTCATTCTCTGGAAATGAACTCTGAACTTGGTCCAGTGTGATGCTGAGACTGCCATCGCCTGAGTACATTAGATGGTTTTGGAACTCTTCATAAGTAGCTGAGATGACTTCAATCATCATTTCCAAATTGATACGGAAGTATTTATGTATGTGTGTGTGTATATATATATATATATGTATACCTGTATACTTATGCATGTACATGTATACAGGTATACATATACATATATATACACACATATATAGTATTTTCCCCAAAGAAATAAATCTCTTAGAGACAGAAGATTGCAGATTCAATAGCATTTAAAGATCTGAATATTTAATGTTTTCATCTTTTTTCCCCATGGTTAACTATCACTGCAATTGTACCATTTGGGAGAGATGAGAATAATCATAACCTTCTAACTTTCTAAATATTGTACATATTCATGATGGCTATTTTTGGTGGCACTAGGGTTTAGACTCAGGGCCTTGTATTTGGCACTCTACCACTTGAACCATGCCTCCAGCCCAGCTTTTTGCTGGCTATTTTGGAAATGGAGCTTCCTGAATATTGTACATATTCACAATTCCCTTGTGTGTGTGATGCTGGGGTTTGAAGTTAGGGCCTTGTGCTTATGTAGCTTGCACTTGACAAGCTGGACCCGTCTCTAGTCTAGCTTTTTGCTAGCTATTTTAGAGATGGAGTATTTTGGACTTTCTGCCCAGGCTAGATTCCAGCAGCAATCCTCTGAATTTCATCGTCCTGAGTAGTTAGGATTATGGGCTTCTGTAACTGGCATCCAGCCATATTATCATATTGGTTTTGGTTCTAGCGTTTCTAGGGTTTGAACTCAGGACTTCATGTGGCACTCTACACTGAGCCAAGCTTCCAGTCTGATGAAGCCTTTTGAGTTCAATGCAGAATTACTGGCTTACCACCAGCACATCTGTTTCCCACTTATTACAATGTCACGGGTAACAGCCCCTTTCTATAGGGCCAACTGAAACACACACTGCCAATTTTCCATTATAGGCTGAGAGCTAACAGTGATAATTATTAACTACTGGTTATTACGTTCATAAAATGCATTTTCTCAGACCAAATGAAGTACTTAATTAATTTTTTTATACCAGCAATTTGTCTTTATCATTTTAGTTTGCAATTAAATCCATACATTGAAAGAGTGGCTACTCTTGTAAATATTCTGTTTGGCTGATCTTTCTCCTTAGCCTTGAAATGATTGCCAGATAGCTGTGCATGAGGTTTTGTGTGCTCACTGTATCTGTCCTGCTTTAAATAGCTTATGTGCCTGAAAAAAAAATTGTGACTTGTAAATTACAAAAGCAAATGCCCTTTTAATGATAAAATACCTTTCAAACTACATATACTCTTGGGGATTTTTTTTGTTTGTGTTTTTTTTATTTTTTTTTACTTTTTTAATCTTTTTTTTAATTGTGAAAATATACAGAGGGGTTACAGTTACATGGGCAAGGTAATGAGTACATTTCTTATCAAGCATTGCTGCCTCCTCCTTTGTTTCCCCTTACCATCCCTTCCCATTTCCACCCTCCCCCCACCCGTCCCCTCCTCAGCCAAAGTTGTAAAGTTCATTTTTTGACATAACGTCTTGTACATTTCATTGTGGCTATACTCTTGTTTATTTAACATCTGTTTCACCTTTGACATAGAAAAATAACTTAAAATATCATACATATTCAAACAATATGTTAGAGTGAAACAGTACTTGTCAAGAGTTCAGAGAAGATTCTAATCCTGCTCTGAGATTCAATCTACATGTGTCCTCAATATAATCTCAATGTCATGGAACCTTCTTTTGTCTCTATGGATATAAAGTATATTGGAAGATATGGGCTGGGAAGGTGGCTCAGTGGTAGAGTGCTTGCCTTGCATGCATGAAGCCCTGGGTTCGATTCCTCAGCACCACATAAGCAGAAAAAAAGCCAGAAGTGGTGCTAGCCTTGAGCTAGCCTTGAGCTAAAGAGCTGAGGGACAATGCCCAGGCCTAGAGTTCAGCTCCCATGACCGACCAAAAAAAATTTTTTTAATTGCAAAATATAGCCATTATCTCTCCACTCTACTACTATTGCTAGCAAATACAAATTTTCACTAACACTTACAGTTAGGATTTCTCCAAGCCCTCTACCTCAGTTCTGAGAATTATCTCATTCTTCTTTCCCACCATTCAGATCAAGTACAGGAAAAAGTATGAAAAGTCAAAGGACAAATTCACCTCAATTGTAGACACTCCAGAACACCTGCGAACTACAAAAGTCAACAAACAAATCAGTGATGTAAGTAGAAGATGCTTACTAGATAGTCTCAGATTTAGAGAGACTGGCATCTTGGGTTGCCACACAGCAGGGAGATTACTGCCATTTAAATGGGAGGGAGGGAGCCAGAAATACTGCATGTCTGCTCAGCACAGAACTCCCCTTTCACAGCAAAGAATTTTCCCACCCAAATTGGCACTAGCCACTAGCAAAGGGCATAGAAGTGCCTGTTGAATCCATAGAATTCTTTTTATGCATTTCTACTTTGCATTTTACATTGAAAGTAAAACATCCTCTCTGCTCTTTAATCTCCTTCAGATACTTTATAAATTGGAATACAACAAGGCCAAACCCAGAGGCTACACGACAATCCATGACACACCCATGCTGCTGCATGTCCGCAAAGTTAAAGATGAAGTCAGTGATGTAAGTGTCTTTCTTCTTGACCTCTCTTGATGTGATCTAACAGACCCTGGCTCAGTGACCTATTCCTGTTTACCAACCAGCTGAGAACTTAGCAAATTAAAGTAGTAGTCATCTACTTTGCTTATGATTCTGTGAGTTGAGTGGGCAGAGCTGAGTTTGTTGCAGGTGACAGAGGCCCAGTTAGGCTTCCATATCCAAGTGGCTATTCCACAACAACCTAGTCCCAGTATCTAAGGCCCACCCCAAGGTACTGCGAAACTGAAGAAAAAAGACAGATCCAGGTGAATCCAAGGATTAAGTGGCTGGACTCACTGACAGAAGCCTGGTGCTGGGCAGTAGCAAGACCTTTATTTTACAACAGAAGGAAGGAGATAGATAGATAGATAGATAGATAGATAGATAGATAGATAGATAGATAGATAGATAGATAGATAGATAGAATTATTATATAATATTATATATATATATATATATATAAGTCAGGACAAAGGGACATCATCTAAACTGGAATGAGTTTGGATTATCTTAAGACATATCACAGATGCACATTCTTGGCCTCAGAATCAGGTTGTAAACTCTAAAGATTTTGTGTATGTATAGCTTGCTGGGGAGTGTTACAGGAAAAACTAACTAGATTACTGGGACAGTCATGGTTTTTACAAATGAAGAAGCTGAACCATTTTTTTGTTGTTGTTGTTATTTTTTTATTGTGAAAATACCGTACAGAGGGAGTTACAATTACATGAGCAAGATAATGAAGCTGAATCCTTATAATAGTTTAGTCACCTGGCTAGCAGCTGATGATTTTTGTGGGTTGAGAGCTTGACTCTGAAACCCCATCCACATGGCATTGCCACGTGTTTGGACATCTCACAGTGTGATGATGGCATCCCAGGAAGCAAGAAATAGAAGTTACTATTTTTAGAATCATCACAGCATTGTTTTCCCCATTTTTTAATACACTCAAATTCTAGGGCATGTTAGGCATCTATCTTTCTGTCACCATAACAAATACCTGAGATAAATTAATATATAAAGAGAAAAGTTTCACTTTGACTCATAATATGAGAGGATTTAGCCCATGATCAATTGGCCTTTGCACCTGTGGGAAGATAATCAGAGTAGAGACGCATGCAGAACAAAGCTGCTCACCTGATGGCTGAGCCAAAAAGAGAAGGATAGGATCCCACTATCCTCTTCAAGAACACACCCAATGCCTGGGAGTCCTCTCCCCGCCCCCCACATTTGTGGGGATCAAATTCAGAACCTGGGTGCTATCCTGAGCCTCTTTGTGCTCAAGGCTAGTACCCTACGACTTCAGCCACAGTGCCAATTCCTGTTTCTGAGTAGCTAATTGGAGGTAAGAGTCTCATGGGGACTTTTCTGCCTGGACTGGCTTCAAACCGAGATCCTCAGATCTGAGCCTCCTGAGTAGCTAGGATTACAGGTGTGAGCCACTGGTGCCCAGCTAGAAGTCCTCTTACTACGCTCCACCCCTTACAAGTTCCTCCACAGACACCACAGACAGGGAACTAAGGCATTACCACATGGGCCTCTGGGGGATATCCTATTGCAATAGGGAAAGAGTATTCAATTCCACTGGATGAATAAATGGCAAGGCCTCACGGCAGAAAAACAAGTTAAATGGGAAATACTATTAAAATCATTATAAGTGACTTGTAAATGACATGTAAACTATGTAATGTGTTATAAATTCTGTTAAACTCTGTAAACTTTATCTTGACTAAGAAGACCAAACTAGATCAAGCACCAGTGGCTCACACCTGTGTGTAATCCTAGCTACTCAGTAGGCCGAAGTCTGAGGAGCATAGTTTGAAACCAACCCAGGCAGAAAAGTCTGTGAAACTATTATCTCCAATTAACAAGCACAAAGCCAAAAGTGGAGCTATGGCTCCACTAGCACTAGATCACTATTCTTCACTGAAAATAACTAAGGGACAGTGCCCAAGTCCTGGGTTCAAGCTCTAGTACAGGCACAAAAAAATTTAAAACTAATAGTCTGAATTTGAGGAGAAATTATATTAAATTTAAATGTTGCGCCTACCTAGTTTTGATAGTTCATACTTGTAATCCTAGTACTTGGGAAGCTGACACAGGAAAATCTTGAGTTCAAGGCCGCCTCATGAGACCCTGTATCAAAGAAAATTTTCTTGGCTTGATTCTGTAGTTGAAAACTGGCATCATTTTGAGTGAAAAGCAGAGTCAGTATCTGAAATAACTCCATGGCTCCAGGAGAGTACTGAAACAATGTGCACGTCCCAATGTCCTGACTGTGGCTAGTGCTCAGGATACTTTGTAAATGAGTAACCATGTCCATACTCCTGATCTCATGTCGCCACACACACACACACACACACACACACACACACACACACACACACACACACACACACACACACACCCCTGGACACACTCAGTGGATAGGTTAAGAAGGCAGAAATGTATAAAGCATCTTAGACATAGGAAATGCGTTAAAAATAATTCTTACAACTGAGCATTGGTGGCTTCCTTGTAGTTGTAGCTTAGGAAGCTGAGATCTGAGGATCATAATTTAAAGACAGCTGGGGCAGGAAAGTCCGTAAGACTCTTGGCAGTTAAACATCAAAAGGCCAGAAGTGGAGCTGTGGATCAAGTAGTAGAGTGCTAACTTTGAGCCAAAAAGCTCAGGGACAGTGCCCAGCCCCTGAGCTCAAGCCCTAGAATCAGCACAAGAAAAAAAAAAATCTTTCAGCTACTATCATGAACAGCAGATGTTCACAGATGCCCATCAGTAGATATCAGTTATATCTCTTACACCACAGGGGGGAGCACTTCTACAATCATAACCCCCATTTTCTGATTATAAGAATAATGGAAAAATATTAATTTCCAGGCCTTCCCCTAAAGATACTGATTAAGATATTAATAATATAGGTTAGTGGTAAAGCCCAGGACAAATCCTATTGTGGTGCCTTAAAAAATAGTTTCCCTTGGCCTTAAGCCACATTAAATACTGGAAACCTTCTTCAGCAGTTAGGGCCCCGTATGGACTTGTTCACTAACACCATGAAATTTAGAAGAAGCAAAAGTGGATGAAGCTAGAAACCCTGGGCCCAAGAGCCTAGGCTTTCCTTGCCACCCTCCCATCCAAACCTACACATACCAGAACTTTCTAGATATGGCCCTAACAGGGACAGCAGTGATTTCATCCACCAGTTCATCATCAAAGACTCAAGTTTCCATGTACTGGACACTAGAAATGAAATAAGTGACATAAAGCCTTTGGCTGAAAGTGGTTCTGAAAGAATAGGCAAATTAACAGTCACACTATAACTTGAAAACAGGAAGCACTATGGGAGCACAGGAGAGCAGGACCAAATTCTGTCTATAGGGACTGGTGGGGAAACTGCCTGCACTATTAGCTGTTTTCAAGATGTTCAGAACCCAGACTTTCCTGACTTGGGAAAGGGGGAAACAGGCACAGAGAGCCATCAGCTGGTCCTTCCCGCACAAACTGGGTGTTCCGGAGGATGCTGCTAAGATCTCAGGGATGACCTCAGAGCTGGGCACCTCTGCATAGCCACATCCTTTCTTCATAGCTGACTTGTAAAAGTAAAGAATCTACCTTAGAATCCATTGTCTGTTACTGTTGCTTTTTAAAATATTTAGTAGTCTGCTACCAGAAACTAACTTTATCACTTTGTGTCCACTCATAGTTGAAATACAAAGAAGTTTACCAGAGAAACAAATCTAACTGCACCATTAAGCCAGATGCTGTTCATATCAAAGCAGCCAAGGATGCCTACAAAGTCAACACCAATGTAAGTTCTAGGAAGTTATCCAAGCTCTTAGTCTGCTCTAACAGAATACCCAAGACCGAGTAATTTATAAAGGACAGAGATCTGCTTGACTTACAGTTCTAGAGACTTGCAAGGTGGGGAGTGTTGCAGGAGCACCTGGCACAGCCCTTTCTTATGGCATCATCCCATGGCAGAAAGCAGAAAGGAAAGAAAAAATGACCAAGAAAGCAAAAGGGAACTGCTTTTATACCATGCTTACCCTCAAGATAATATGTATATATATACATACATATAGATGTATATATATTATGTAATTATAAGGGCATTAGTCTGATCAGGAAGCCAGAGCTCTCATAACCTAATCACCTTCTAAAGGCCTCATCTTTTCATAGCATCACAATGGCCATGAATTTTCAACCTTGGTTTTGTAGGGGACATTTGAACCATAGCAAGGCCTGATGGGGCCATTTCAGCTTTTGCTTCTTTTCATCCACATATCCTCCAGAGACTGAGCTCTAATGTGTCAACATCAAGAGCTATGCCCCAGGAGCATGGACAATAATGCCAAAAACTTTGGCTGCCTGCCTTTGGTCCCCGCGGGGGAACATGGAGAAGTGTGAGGGTGGTCTTTCCTCATGACACATGGTGGGTGATGCTGAAGTGAAATTGCATCAACCTCTCCCCTATGATCCTCTCTGCCACATGAAATTCTGAAGGAGACCATATTTGTCACATGGTGCCCTTGGGTTGGCTAAACCTTCCTCCTGCTCAGATTCTCCCTGCACTGACTTATTTCTGTGGTGCATCCTAAAGACTTATTCACAGAAACTGTCTTGTACATTTAGCGGAACCCTCACTTTTTTTAAATGCATAAATGGTATAATGAAACCATAGTAATCCAACTAATGTCCATCTTACCAAGAACATGCTTTTTTCAGAGCAAGCAAACTCGGACATCTATAGAAGCTAGCAGTTGGCTTGTTTGCAGTACCCTTTCAGCAGGTTGATGGATAGGGAAGCATGGAAGAAGAGATAAGGGACAGAGCGAATGTAGTGCACTTTACATGGTAGAGCCCAGGTTGTGTTTGTGTGGGTATTATCTATGATGAAATGTTTTTGATGTTTATTGCAACAAATCACTTTAATGTTTCCCATGTTGGAACAAAAATGCATTTTCCCAGTAAAATGGGAGGGGGGAATTCTCATTAAATAATTTGGTTAAAAAGCATGGTTAATGATAGTGTGTAAATATACCGCAATAAAAATAAGAGCTAGGTAAGAATGAGACGTGCCTGATAGGGTGACCTCTCTCAGACACTCAGATTACATGCATTCCTGTGCCTCCAATTTGCAGTCAGTTCTCTAGAATAGGCAGCCAGTTCTCTAGAACTTAGTAAAATCTGGACAGTGGACAAACACCACAGAAGCTGGCAGCCTGCCTGGAGTCCAGCCCCTACTTAACCCTTCAAGGCAGTACCTTAGCTGACTGTTTCATTCAGCTGTTATGAAGAGTTAATTGTATAAGGGTTAACCATTTTTAATTTTGCTATTTATGAAGCACATGGAAAAGGCTTGGTATGATATAAATACCTATAGTCCTGAATTTGGTTAGAAATTTAAAAGTACTAGACTCTGATGAAACTGGCCTGGCAGTTAAGAGAGTGTGCAGAATTATTTAACCTAAGGGCTTTTTAAAGTTTCAGCCCCTACTGAGGACCAAAAGGTATCAACAGATGACATCTGAACAGTTGACTAGCTGCAAAAATTGTACAGGAATTTTTTTTTTGGCGGGGGGGGAGGTCTGGTCATGGGGCCTGAACTCTGGGCCTGGGCGCTGTCCCTCAGCTCTTCAGCTCAAGGCTAGCGCTCTACCACTTGAGCCACAGCGCCACTTCC